TAACTCTAGCAGTATTTGGCTTTGCTAAATCTTTCCCTTTGCTTGCACACTGTTAACTTCCTGCCATTCTATCAGCTCAGTAACTGGGGTAAGTATCTGTTTATATGAGACCCCTCATCTCTGTAGAGGAGACCAAGGCTTGGCTAACACTAAGCACAAGCCTTGGTGGGACTCTGTCAGGGCACAGAGCTCGGTGGCCGTCTTGTGCTGTCCCATCTCCAGAAAGCACTATGGGAGTAGAAAATAGGGAGTGACAAGATAACTTTGTGTGCATAACTTACCAGAATGCTGTTCTTTTCATGGGTGTTTACACTAGTTAACATAATTGGGCTGCTTGGAGTTTACTGCATCAAATCCAAGTTCTCTGAGCTTTAAGGGCATTGCCGTTTATATCTGTGTGTGGGAAATTCAAGAAAAGCAAGAGTACAACGGAGTTTTAATCTCAAACCATGGAAGCTTCATCAGCTTGAAGGCTCAAAGTCCCTTACTTGTGGTTTTCATTCTCATGAGCTAGATGATGTGCCTGTTTTTTCTTTATATGTAGATGACAACGTTTTGATGTGTCTTCAAGCCCTCTTTGTTGGCTGGGTAATAGGCGAACAGGAGTTTTCATTAAAAAATGCAGTAAAGCCTTTTTAAAAATGAGCATTTTGCATTGCATTGTCTTTCCATCAGGTCACAACTACAGAGTGACAGTTTCAAGGTCTCACATATGATAGCTCTGCTGCTCGTTTTCCAAGGCATTTTTCAGACAGGAGCCATTGGGAGCTGCTGAAGTGTCTTCCCAAATTCTTCCCTGGTGTAGTGCCTGGATGCCCTGATGCTCCTTCCTTGTTCTGCTGTGCCATACAGTGGTGTGGTAAGGTCCTCCATGACTGATCTCTGGTGGTGGAGTGAATATTCTTCTTTTTTCACCGTTTGTTTGTTTTTACAGTGTTTAAAAAGTTGATGTTGGCAGAAAAACAAAAACCAGTAGGATTATTTTCTGATCCAAACAAACAGGATATTTGAATTAGAAAGGTCTTTCTCTCAAAAAACTGAAATATTTTTTGGAGAAAAAATGTTTAATATGCACATTGTTTATGCTGCCTTTTTTTTTCCCTCTGAAAGAATTGTCTCTACAGATTGATTATTAGTTTGAAGGCTTGTATTGGACATTCCTTCAGCTTGGGAACAATTGGAAAGGAAAGCAAATGTGTGAGTTGTACATAGAGGCTGTGTTTTTGGCTGTGGCTTTCCCTGATTCTTCCTTTGAAGCACTAATTTATCTTTAGAAAACATGAGAAATTAGAGGTCACTAAACATAGTTTCCTGTGCTCCTACAAAATTATTAACCACTGATAATACCTAAGCATTGCCAGTCCCTTCTCCCTTTTTGAAGAATCACATTTTTGCAAGATACTGTTAACCCCCAATAGCTGTAAGGTGTCTCAGGTTCTCCAGAGAGCATCTCTTTGATGTCTTCTTGCTTTCTGTGCAAGGATCAGCGTCCTTCAGAAAGATGCAGATGCCTAGTTTTTTAACACTGCAAAATCTTTGCTCTTGATTCCTGCTCCTATCCAGCCATTGTCTGTTGTAGTCCTTGAATGCTGAAAAAAAAAATCACAAGACTTGCTATTATTTTGGAGGCTTTTGTTTGCTGTTTGTTTTCTGAGCATTTAGTGTCTGGTACTTACTTCAAATTTTCCTTCTTCCATGGTGATGAATAGAATTTTTTTTTTCCATAATAGAAGGTGAAGGCTTTCATGTATGCTTTAGAACTGGGACTTGAGCTAGGCACCAGATCTTGATAAACTTGCTGATGGTATTGAAGAGGCAGTTCAAGTGTAGCTAGCATGTTTCTTCTTACAAAACATTAGTACCTTTGCTGTTACTTTGGGGAAAAAAGGCTCAATGTGTTCCACTATACCTGCTTCTGCTTTTTATGCTCTTTTGTACAAGGATTACTGTTGCAGATCTATAGGAAAGCACAAAGCTTAGGCAAACTCTGAGCCTCCACAGCCTGTGAAAGACCTATGTTCTAAGGAAGCATATCTAAAATGAAATTGTGGAATGAAAACAGCAATCTCTTCTTGTGGTAGGTGGTACCTGTTTGCTGTCTGGAGGAGAAGTACTGTGGTATGGAGGAGAAGTGACCACAGGGACAGTACATCTTAAATTCTGAAAATACGTGAAATGGGTTTCTTTCCCCATGTCTTCCACCTAGTCAGACAAGATCTTGCTATTTATTTTCTTCATTTGAGTGATGTCATATGTCTGTCTGATACTTTAGTGCATTCCCTCTTTGGTCATTAAAGAGGCTCCATCAGTTGTTACATCTTTGTTACAAATGTGTAGCTTAATATCAATAAATTTGACAGTATGAGAATGGGGATTTTCATAATATGCCATTAAGGAAGTGTTTCAAGACTGATGTAAGGGTCATATTCTTTTGCTTTGCAAGCTCTGCATTTTTCAGGCAAACTTTGCCATAACAGAGCAGTTAGGAAGCAGTGGTTAGTGGGTCAGACAGGCCCAGGGGGCTAAATTGGGGTTTGCTCAGCCAAATGTTAGTGCTTTTTAATCAACACTGAATTTTGCATGCAACATTCTCTTCCTTCCCCAAAGCCATAACAAAAAAAAAGGGTGTTCAATTGGGTCATGCCCAACATCTGTCCTTTACTAAACCAGTTAGGGAGGAACCCCAGTGAGGGAGGAGGAGCTGCCTATAGCTACTGTTAAAGCATCTTTTCACCACTGTGGCTTTGGCAGTCTGGGACTAGCAGCTGTCGATGAAAATCTGTGTGCAGTACTCAAACCCCAATTTAGAAGGAAAAGGAGAATTTTGTTTCAGATTTTGTGCTGCATTTTTACAACAATTGCAAAATTCCAATGAAACTGTGTCATGAATATTGGGAGTGCAATTAATTTGCAGTGTTGTGAAAAAATTGCATAGATTTCTTTTTGCCCTATTCAGCTTCCTTAGGTGTTAGGCTGCTTCACACTAACGAATTGTTTTGTCAAATCTCTCTGCTGCCACCTGTTCAGTTTCCAGTAAATGTAATTAATGTGATGGTAGGAATGACAGAGGCTTTGGCCTCTCTTGTCTAGAGGGTTTATATATTCTCCACCACAGACTATGTGTTAATTGGGTTATCCTGATAAGTTTCAATTTGGTTTGGTACAGACCTTTTTTGACAAAAGGCTCCATGGAGGCCAATTTAACTTTTAGAAGTTCATTGTAGTAAAAAAGCCTCAGTGAACATACAGTGCAGGCATCTTTGGAAGTTTTTAAGTTCAACTGAATTTCTTCCAGTTAATGAGAATTTATTAAATTCATCACTCAAAGCAGGCTGAGTCTGTGCTATATTTTAAGCTAAGAATCACGATTTACTGGATACTTATTGGTGTCTGCTGCAAAGGAACATAAAAGCAAAAACGGGTAATTTTCTTTATAAATTTCTGAAGTAATTCACTCTTCCATGAAAAGAAATATGAGGATCTACTTTGAAGGGACTCACAAAGATGACTGAAGTCCAGCTCCTGGCCCTACACAGGAGAGCCCCAAGAGTCACACCATGTGCATGATGACAGTGTTGTCCTATCACTTCTTAACTCCCTCAGGCTGGGGCTGTGACCACTTCCCTGGAGAGTCTGTTCCAGTGCCCAGTCACCCTCTGGGTGAGAAACCTTTTCCTAATATCATGTCTAAACTTTCCCTGACACAACTTCATGTTGTTCCCTCGGGTCCCATCACCAGTGACAAGAGATCACAGCCTGCCCTGTGCTTTCCTTCATGAGGAAGCTGTAGGCTGCTGTCACTTTACTTTTGCAAAGAACAGGAGACTTAACCTGCTTTTGCTTTGTTTTGAGTGAAGAGCTTAAAAATAAAAGCAGTACTTTTTTTTTTAAGGGGTGGTTTTCTACAAAATATTGTGGCAGTGGATGACTTTCCTCTGAAAGGTGCAAACAAGCAGTTTTAAAGGTAATAAAAATTGAAGTGGATATCTTCTCTCTGGGAAGCCTGGACCAGTTGGCTTCTCATAATGGTCAGTGCTGGCCTCTCCTTTTCCATTATATGGCAAGCTGCAGAGAGGCAGTGGGTGCAAGTGGAAGTATATCAAATGCATATAAATAAATGTATAAAACCCAAAAAACCAAAAACTCAAATATGCTAGAACACAAAACCAAATGCACATTTATTTAAATGGCTGACTCTCGGAGGAGAGCTGTGTTTCAGGGTACAATCTGTTAGTGTCACATCCTGATTAGTATGAAAATTTGTCCCAGCTCAGCAATGCACTGATAGACAGGTCTCCTCAGATGCATGAACAAGCAGCCTTGAGAGCTTGAGAGGCAATACTTGGTGTACTTGGCAGCAGAACATACAAGGAGTCTGCTTGCTCAGGGTCTCTGTGTGCATGCTTGTGTTAAAAGGCATGTCAGAAAAGACCTGTGCACAGCAGGCAGAATTTAGCTGATTTGGGACTTTGCAGTAGTGATTTATTGCTATTGCAAATGCTTGCTTGCTTTAATGGACAGGAAAAGTCATATTTTGTGTTAGGCTTAGAAGCAGGAAAAAAATGGATTGGAAGAGTGTATAAAGCATGACTTAGAATAATTTTTATTTGGCTGAAACATTGCATTAAAGACCAAATGAAAGACTTCCTTAGCTTCATTTTTTTGGGTAAGTAATTACATAAATATGCATTGGTATGTGATAATCCAGGAAACAACTTCTGATTATAATGAAATCTATGAAACATGATTTATGCTATGAGTGCAATCTTGGAAATGTGATTGAAGATCACTAACATGGAAATGAATTACAGTGCAATTTGGATACAAATTATTAAGCTTATGCAGAGAAATTATTTGTGAAATGATTACTGGCCCCTAACAGATGTTTCAGGCTAACAATGGGGCAATGTGCATACAAATTTTGACTTGGAATTATTTTTTGTTTTGTTTCAGAACCACACAACACTTTGTTTTCCCAACTCAGTTGTTACCACTGGTTTAAAAATGTTATGCTGTTTCATAGTTGCAAAATACATTAATAAAAACCGGGGCTTCTAACAGTCCCATATGTGTTGGGAAGTGCTGTATTGATTACGAATTACAAGGACTGCAGGAGAGCAGACTTTTCTGAGTTGCATTTTTCAGTCTTTTGTAAAAATATCCCTCAGATGTGAGTTAATTTTTCAGTAATGAAGTGCTAGCAATTCCACTGCAGCCTTTCTGGGTAATAATTCCTCTATAGATAACTCCCCTTGTATGTGCATTTAATAATATCAGTTAATGCTGTAATTGATATTACAGCATTATTTCAAAACTGCATTATATTGTGAATAAACTTTCATCTCTGAAATGCTGAAACTCCTTTAGATGCAGCCATACTTAAACCTACATGTAGCAGCTAGGTGGCAGAAACTGTGCCTTTTTAAAATAAAGTGGTACTATAAATGCAGCAGTGTTGCTTTGTAGTGACTGTTCAGTTTCTTTTAAAAAAAAAATTGTGATACCTTTGTACTGCCAGAAATGTATCCTTTGAGAAGACAACAGTAAGCAACTTCCTTCAGTTTTATTAATGGTATCTTTTCTCTGAGTGTCTGAATGGTCAGAAATACATTCTTCTGTTGCATACCTGCCATCTATGTGGTTATAAAAGAAAAATAGCTGAGAGATGTCACCTTGTGCTTTTATAACTGTGGAATTCTCAGTGTCTGCTGCGTCATTTACCTGTCATACCTTGCACACCTAAATACATACAACAATTAAACATGTGAGTGTGCCCCTGTAGAACAGAAGCCTAGAGTTTTAACTATTTAAAGCAGGGACTGTTTCATGGGTTTGTGTATCAATGATGGCTCAGTCTGATGGGTTTTTCCTCTGCATAAAACGTTGGCCCAGCAATGTGTGAAGGTGCTGTCTAATCTTTGAGCTACCTGTGCTGTGGCAACAGCAAATAATATTTCAGCGTGCACCATCTTATCTAAGTTACACAAGTTAGTTTTAGAGTCCAGTAGACTTACTGAAGAATGACTAAGTTATTTTGTGTGACAGGTTGGGAAATAAGTACCTTGTTACAAAATGGGGTATTTAAGAAAGTGCTTGTGGATGCAGAACTTCTGACCTCTCTAAATGGACACTTCATGTGCAACAGCTCTCTTAACTCTTGGCTTTCCAAAAAACTTGATTTCTTAACAGCCAGGTTGGTTAGAATTTGCAACACATGAGCTGCGAGGTGGCTCATTTGTCGTGATGTTTAACCTTCATTAAATGGGACACTAAATAGGAGTGTATAACATTACTGGATTCAGAAGACAACATGCAAGTTTTCCTCATAGCTGAAATTGTCAAGAGCAGGGTGTCCTAAAGGGCAGTGAGAGGGGTTAGTATCTTACATGTATTGAACACTGAGGAACACAAAATCTTACGTGGCAGTTGAATAATTTGTGGGGTTATTGTGAAGCCCCTTTAGTCACTCTTGCTTTTTAATGTCAGTTTTACACATTAACATTATTGAGAGAGCATTATGGTTTTGACTACAGAAAGTGCTGTCTGATTAAAATGTTCTTGAGAATCTTCCCAAGAGCTTTTCTTTATAAGAACAAGCATATTAACTTAGCAAAATGCTAAGCTGTTCATTAAGGCAGTAAGCTCTAGCTGCCAGACTCAAGTTATTTACATGAATTTGAAATCATAGCTGTACCTGTTTCTTGGGTTTATGGCTTTGAGCAAGTGAGTTGAATTCATTTAGGCTACTTCTCATTCATTTGTTTACATATTCAAGGTGCTTTATGGGCAATTATTGTCTTCAAAATGCTTCAGTGCCTAAATGGAGAGTGATGCTGAAGAAGTTTCTCTATGGAAACACGTGACTGAGAGTTGCAGATTTGATTCATGCTTGTTCTTAGCATTATCAGCTAGTGTATGTGTTTGCACTCTCCAAAAGAATGATGTCTGAAAAGGCTCATAAATCACATCTGTTTGGTTTCTTCCGCTGCAACCATGAAGTGGAAAACTGGAAGGCAAAATGGGCTGTAGCTGAGAAAGAGGCACTTCTTGCCTTTAAGAAACCAATGGCAGATTTTTCCTGCAGTTTAGTTTCTTTCCAGTGTTCTCATGACACTGTCCTCTCTTTCTATGTGTACTTGTCTAAATATGAAAGACTTGGAGTTTTTTAGCATTTTAGAGGAGACAGACAAACAAAATGATAAAACAACCCCCAAAAACTAAGCAAGAAAAAAACATAGAGAAGTCTACTGCCACTTCAGAATTTTGACTTGAAGCTCTCTTGGGGTTCTTCCACCTCTGGAGTTTCATAAATATGAAGCATGTCCCAGCTGCCAACCAGCCTTTTACTAGTTTCTGTGTTCATATGGGAAGGCTGAGTTCCATGGTCATCCAGACAACAGAGGGACCTCAGCCTCTGTTACGTGACTAAGAAGAGGTGGCAGACAGGGTTTAGGGTTTTGAAAAGAGTAGCTGCATTTCCTGGAGTTCGTATGCTTGGCTACTCTTGAATGGAGAAGCTGTTGTACTCCTTGCTGGTCTTGAGACATGCAGTCCCTTCCTCTTTGTTTACCCATCTTTAAAGATTGAGCTTTTCCTTGTGTTCAGCAAGTAAAGTTAGTGTAGTCTGTCAGTGGCCATCCCAAGGAAGGGAGAGAGCCTGCAGCTGGAGCAGGGAAGAGGTACATCTGCCGTGGGGCCCTGGTCCCTGCTCCACTGGTGGCTGCATGACCTGGGTTAAAGAGGAGAGGGAGTGGGTGGTGAGCAGGGGGATTACACTTAGAGATGGGAAAGGCTGCACTTGGAAAAATGGAAAGTCATGGCAAAAGAAGCACTTCTTGCACATAAAGTTAATAAAAGAAAAAAAAATGTCTGAACGGGAAGTGAGTTAAAATTTGTGCTTGGAACCCTGTCAGTTAAATCTTGATTTATCTCTTCACACAACTTCTGTATGTAGTTCAATATATTATTACTGCCATAGATGTCAGTATATGCATTTTATTTTGGATACGTAATGCTAGTAATGCAATGTGGCATAAATCATCTGGAATTTAAACTCATGTTGTGCCCATTTCACAATTTAGTACTTCTTTCCACTGTTAAATTGAGTTGTGGTTTAACACCTGTTGGGACAAATTGGGTTACAGGGCAAACTGTGAGAAGGAAAGTATGTGTGGCTATTAGTCATTACAATTTTAACTGTAGCTAATTTCTCTTTGTCTTTCTCCCTCCCTCATTTCATAAACTAATCTCAGTTTTGGCTTTACAGCCACTGATTTACATGTATGAGGAGTTTCTCACCTGAGTAGCCTCTTCTCTAGCCTTATGGAAGAATTCCTCGTGAATTTAATATGGAATTCGCAGTCTGGTTTAAAAGAATTTGGGAAGCTGTGTCAATGCTTTACATTTCTCAAGGACGCAGGTCATCATGGTATTTTCAAGCCAGATTCTGCTATCTCTTATTCATCAACAGTTTTCACTGCAGAAAGGTCCAAATCCAAAGGCTGAATGTAGCAGGTCTAATAAAAGCAGCAGAATTTTACTCTTTTTGGCTTTTACCATGTCCACTGTGAACCTGAAGAATGCTTTTTCATCATGTTTGTGAGATAATCCTTTTTTTTTCTGCTTGATTTATTTCTAACAACTCTGAAGGCCAATGAATATGGTATTTTCTGGAATGAAGTGTGTGTTTGGAGGCTGGGGGGAGTGTCAAGCTGTTTTTTGTCCTTTTGTTTTGAACTCCTCTTCCACAGAAGACGCGGTGTCCTACAGACAGATAGAACAATGCTATATTCCGCTTTAGCGTCGAATCACAAGCAGGGTCTTTGGAATTAAAGTTGGCGAATTGCCTGGATATGTCCAGTTTTTAACAAGCACTGCTTTGTGCATTAGCACCCTACGCTTCCTCCCTCCCCCCAGTGCTGCCACTGAAGAGAGGAGGAGAAACAAAAAAAAACCAAAAAAAACCCCACTCCAAACAGAATAAAAGCATCTGTTAGAGTGAAAATGGGGAAGAAAGAAGGGATGAAAAGGGCATAAAAAAATGTATGCCAGAACAGCTGTCAAATTTGTCAAAAGAGCTAGAGAGCTGGACATTTTAAGTTAGTCACACTCCTGAGTATCTGATTACCTATGTGTAATTTTTTAACGTTAGGAACAGTGTAGATGCAGCACAACTTTTTGTACAGAATGCGGCTCAGTTTTCATCAGGATGTTTGAGTGCTCATTTACCAGGACTTTGTACCCAAGAATGAGCATGTGAAAATTTGACACTCACATGTTCTTTCAGGGAAGGGCACTGAAGCTGATAAAGGCTCTAGAGAGCGAGTCATATGAGGAGTGATTGAGGGGGCTGGGGTGTTCAGCCTGGGGAAAAGGAGGCTCAAGGGAGACCTTACTGCTCTCTACAACCACCTGACAGCAGGCTGTAGCCAGGTGAGGGCTGGCCTCTTCTCCCAGGTAACCAGTGACAGGATGAGAGGTCATAGCCACAGGCTGTGCCTGTGGAGGCTCAAGTTGGACATCAGGAGGAATTTCTGCATGGAAAGATTTATTACGTGTTGGAATGGATTTCCCAGGGAGTGGTGGAGTCACCATCCCTGGAGGTGTTTAAGGAAAGACTGGACATAGCACTTAGTGCCATTGTCAGGTTTGTAAGGTGATGTTCATAGGTTGAACTCTGTGATCTCAGAGGTCTTTTTCAACCTAATTGATCCTGTGATTCTGGGATTCTTTTTTTGAGTATGCAGTCAAACGTGTGTCATGGTGAGGAATATAGGTTTTTATTGAGCATAGCAGCAAAGTCAGGGTTTGGCAGACTTTGAGATACATTTCAAAACAGCATTTTATTAAATATTATTGTTTGTGCTGCTTTTCTTCTTAATTTTCTGAAGGATAAATAAATGGAAGTGTCAAACTCAAAGGATTATCCTTCTTAAAAGAGATCTGTGAAAGTATTTATCTGATGGCATTGAAAGACAGTTACCCATAAAGAAAAGTACTATCCTACTGTTGGTAAGCTTATTGACAGAATGGTAGGTGAAGAGCCCCTTCTGATACCCTGTTCTACTTTGGTCAAGCAGTGTGACTGATTGCAAATCACCATTAAGGTACTATTTTTACCCACCTGAAAAGATGTTTGTCTGGTATATTTAATGCAGTGTGTCATTTCAGCCTACCTGCAGACAAAATTTCAGATTTAAATGAGGATATGTTCCTAAAATCAATTGCCTTGCAGTAGCTGCATCCAGTACTGCACCCCAAAGAGGAAGGAATCGTGAACAATTGTGCAAATAAGCCAACCCTTTAATGAGAGAGGAGGATAATGAGGAGGTGGTACTCTGTGCTCCCCAGCTGGGCTAAACTCATGGGAGCTGGAGTCACCAGACAAAGCTGAAAACTGAGAGCTGTGAAGCTGAACGGAATTCTTGTAATTCTTTTGAACTGCAGGCAAAATTATTTGACAGTGAAAATTGTACCAGAGGAATGTATAAGCTCAAATATTTTCAGTGTAGAGAGTAAAGGGAAATCTATAGTCAAGTTAATGACCATAACAGATGGCGTGTGTTTTCTGCATTTCCATTTTATTTTTGACCCAGGAATGAGGCTCTGGAGAAAATCTCATTTATCCTTGTGCAGTGTGCTTTGGTTCAAATCTCAGAAGTCCTGGAGTCCATGACCTGGTTTCCTTTTGGATGAAAATGCCCTGAAATTTGCCCTCCAGGAGGGCACTTGGGAAGTTCCCACCATTGAGGGTTGCTCGGTTCATGGGATCAGGTTAGAGTTGGTTTGGAGTCACCTCCTCTCTTCTGAAAGTGCATGGGTACTGAGACCTCAGCAGTGACTGTTCCCCCTGCAAGTCTGCTGCTATTGCTTTGCGAGTTTACTTTTCTGTTGAATCACTTGTTTCTACTTAAAACATGTTGACTAAGCTATAGATAGCTTTTATGGTAACTTTGCACGTGGTTTTGTCATGCATACAATATGCAGGTCTATTTTCAGAAGATGCATAATCTTAAGTTTTTTAATTTATTAAAAGATGGAGGATAAATAATAAATCAGTTTAAAGTCATACTTGGTTTGAATGGAGAGCCCATCATTTTAATGCACTCCAACACCTTCAGTTATTTATCAGTTAACTGAAACAACTGTATACCAAATCTGCCAGCATATGAGGAGCTAGTAAGCAGAAATAGTTGCATCTGATCACTCTTGACCATGTGCATGCTGTATTTTAAACCTGCACATGATCTGCCACATGCTGCCAGCCATCCACGGTTGTTTTGGCACAAGCCTTTGTGAGAAGGTGCACTTCTGAGGGAAGCTGGAGAGTGGGGAGCCCATCTGAGGAGGTCTGGGGAGCTCATACCTGTCCCTCTCTCTGCAGTGAGGGTGGGCTGTAGGTGCCAGGGCAGCCATGGGCTCACCTGGCTGCCTTCAGCAGCATCCTGAGGAATCCTGCAGGGTTGTGAGGTCAGAGCACTTGTACTTGGGCTGTCTGCTGCAGCCTGGCAGTGTGCTGCTTTGGCAGGGGGTGTGCAGGGCCAGCTCTGGGAAAGCACTTTCTGACCCGTGAGTTAAGATGGTGGCTACGATTGGGGTTTTTTTCCCCAAATCTGAATTACTCTCTCTAAGCAACTGGGCTAGCAAATAAATAAAATGAGCAGGAAAATGAGAGTTTAAAAACAAAAGGTCATTTCAGAAGTCTATAATTCTGGGTGCTTAGCTAGTAACTGCTGCTAATCTGATTTGTTTTTCTTTGAAACCTAACCAAAAGCATAAGCTACTTGAGTATATGCTGCAGACAATAATCATGTAGCTGATAAATCTGCGTAAACCTCAGCATAGGTTTTCAAAGTTTCATAGGTAGTTTTGCTTATGAGAAAAGCTTAAGTGTTTTATTTAGTTTTTGATTTGCTTTTATGGCACATCCCTTTCCACCCACCACAGCTCCCCAGCTGTTTTTGAATAGCTGATCAGGGTTCAGTATAGTATCCGTGCCAAGGAAATAGTGCATGTGAAAAAATCAGGAGGTAAAAGTTATGTCATAAGGGAGTCAAGTTACTGTGACTCATTTCACTCTGGCCTTTAGATCTGATGCTTTTAAAAATTTTAATTAGTTTCTATAGTTCACCCTTCAAACTGTGTTTTAGTTTGGCAGAGCAGACTTGATGAACAAGTAAAAAAATCAAGTGATGCTGAAATGGTGGTGTTGAATGGGCTGTAGAACGGCTTATGAGATTCTAGAGAGTTTATTCAGACAGAAGGGCCACCAAGTTGATCAGAGGGATAGGGTATCTCTGCTCTGAAGAAAGGCTGACAGAATTGGTACCTGGTAACAAGTAGGCTTTGGGGTGACCTAATTGTGAACTTCCAGTACCTGAAGTGAGCCTACAAGAAAGATGGAGAGAGACTTTTTACAAGAGCATGTAGAGACAGGACAAGGGGGGATGACTTCAAACTGAATGTAGGTTTAGATTAGATATTAGAAAGAAATTTTTACCATGTGGGTGGTGAGGCACTGGAACAGGTGTCTCAGAGAAGTTGTGGATGTCCCATCTCTGGAAGTGTTGAAGGCCAGACTGGAGCTCTGACCAGCCTTGTCTCGTGGAAGGTGTCCCTGACCACAGTAGTGGGGTTGGAACTAATTTATCTTAAAGGTCTCTTCCAACCCAAACCATTCTATGATTCTATGATACTTTTAGTCAAAATGGAGACATAACATGGCTTGTTGCATGCCAGCAGTGGAAACCAACATCTCTTGCTGGGCCTGGTGGGAGCTGTGGCTCATCTGCATGGGGCAGGGCTGTGCACACACACCAGTAGGTGCAGCCAGAGGTGGCTGTGTCTTCAGAACTGGGGCTCATTAGGGTTGGTTCTGTGCAGTGAAACCACTGCTCATAAGGTCCCAGTGTCCCTGCTGAACAATTTTCTGGAGGGTGAAGGGTCATGTCAAATTAGCTCTGGTTGGGGTGCTTTGTGTGCTCCTGGAGCACATGTCTGGGTTTAGTTGCACTGAAAATGAATTCAGTTTGTGTGCTCCGAGGCTACACCACAGTGTGGGACAAGAGGAGTGTGGCAAGGGGATGACTGGGAGATGTGTCAGAAGTACACTTACCTCTTCATCTAAATAGTAATTGTTAGGGTTTTTTGCTCCCCAGCTGTTCAGTCTCCATGTGTTGTTGTAAGAGGTCAGTGCTGATTTTGCCTGTTGAATTTAGCATTAGTGTTCCCTGGCTATTGAAAGGATCCCTGCAGTGTCCCTGGCTTTTTGATTGGTTTTGGCTGAAGTGTATCACTTAGTTATAATTCACATGATATTGCCTGTCACTACTAAACTGCAGCGTTGCCCCTGTCAAAACTTGGCTCCAGCTGTTCACCAGAGTGGTGTGAATGGTGTTTGAGTGTGCACATCTGGTTATTTTGGAACAGGTTTAGTACATTCTTTTCTGTGCTAGAGTTCAATTTGCAGCTGTAAAGCAGACAGGCGCAGCACTAAATTACTCAGATAAGTAATAAGTTTCAGATAAATGCTTTCTTTGTGACTACTTTGTGAAAAAGATTTATGTATCCTGATATGTTTCTTCCCCTTCTTCTGCCACTTGCCCAAAGTCTGACATCCTGCAACTTGTGTGTTAGTCTTTGCATCTGCAAAGTTCAAAAAATTGAACTTTAGCTCATGACTACCAGCAATTTCTCTGTCCTGCATTTGAGGAATATTTTTGTAATCTGTTTCAATACTCTTAAAATAAAGCTAGGAAAAGGGACTTTCAGTGTCTGGGAGAGCCAGAAATTGATTTAGGAAAAGCAAAATTAGATTTTTTTTTTTCTCATAGAGTTTCACTTGAATGTGTTTCAATTAGTAAGGCTGTTTTTCAGAGGGGAGTGTGTATAAAGATAATTACTGATCTGGTATAGATCGCAGTGATGCTCAGATTCAGCAGAGTTCTATTTTAAAGACTTAAAATAATAAAATGAAGGTATTTCTTTTCCCTTGTAGGCCTAGATGTTGGTATTTCTTTCTAAGTAATACATGAAGGAGGAGAAATGGAGGGTATGTTTTGGCCACAATTGCATCTTTATCTCTGCTTAACTTTTTACTTTGTCACTGGTAGTGTCTTTGCCTCTTGCATTTTCTCTTTTTTATTGGGCACAAGAAGAAAAACTGTAGTGAGAGGGTTAAATGCTGGAAGTCACTCAGGTTATGGAAAGATTGATCTTGGATATTTTCAAAACTCAGCTGGTCAAGGCCTGGCAACCTAGTCTAACTTCAAAACTGTCCCTTTTGTAAGCAAGAGATTGGATTTATTCATGTCCCAAGGCCCCTTCTAAATGACTCTGGCTTAATTTGCACAGTTCATAACACACCTTTGTGGGTTGCTTCTTCCCCCAGTTCTCCTGCATCCCCTCCAGGGAAATATGGACACACAACTGTGGGAGAGAAATCCCTGGCTTGAAAAAGACTTTGTAGGTTTATTATCAAGTACTTGAGAAGGTCTTTTCAGACAGCTGGTCTTTCAGACTGCTGCCAAACTCTACAGGGAAACTTAATTCTGTGAGTTGTCACCACAGTCTATGTGAAAAAGATGCAAGTCAAATTTTAAATAGATACTAAATAGATGCTAAATATCAGTGGGCATATGTTCCTATAACTCTTAATAGCTTTATGTGACCTTGTAGTCATATATAACTTGTCAAATATAACTTTTTGCAGTGTCCTGCTGTGAGGTGGAGACTGCAATGAGGTCAAGTTTCAGCTCTCATTTATTAAACATTTTGTGTCTCATCCCCACTTATCATACAGACTTAGAGCCTGTTACTAATTTTGGTGATGGCCAACACCTTCAAACACTTCATTAATGTAAGATTTAGTCCAAGTGCTTGTTGTGGAAGCATTATGTAACGAGTCAGGCCATTTTATGAGTATTCATTCACATGATCACTGCATAATGCTGAAACTAGGCAACCATGGATGGATGATGGAAATGGCATCAGTCAACACAAGATGATTTTCCATTTTCATCTTGCAATAACAAACATTTATTTTAAAGGGTTGATGAAAATGTAATAATTTCTCTGTGCATTAGCTGGTCAAAGTAATTGCTTTACCTGTGACCACCTCTGCTCAAGGATCAGGTCACTATTTTAAGAATCCAGAATAAGTATATAAGTATAGCCAGTATTAGGTATTGAAAAACTATTTGTTTGAAAAACTATTGTGTTTAAGCTAAGGTTTTTTTACGTTCTCTGCCACTTGGAATAATCAGTGGCTATTGTGTTTCAATTAAACAGAAAAAGAAAACAAAAATAAACAGGATGCATACTACAGTGCTGATTGGTAGCTGGGAGCTTGTTCTCCCTGCTCAATCCCATAAAGGACCTACATCAAAATTGTCAGTGCCAGCAGTCTCTCATTAGGCACATTAGTTCCCTAATAGGGTGAGAAACCAGGGAGCCACAGTGCACCTCAATCCTCTGTGTCACCATAGAATTACCCAGCTCTTCACTACCCCCATGTATGAATTGTGTGATGTGACTGATTTCATAGACACACAAATATTTGAAATTATTATTCCTTGTTACTGTATTAAAAAATGTGTGTATTTTTGAAGTTTTTTCATAGACACTCATTGAAGTGTCACTTAAAGGACACTACTGAGTGTTTTAAACCATCGAGACTGTGTTTTTACTTCTTGTGAAGGTGTGTCTGAAATATATCTGTTAGGTTTTACACAACTGTAATTGAAATTTGCCACTGTTATGTGGTCAAGGTTATTGTATTATAGGTTCAGAACTGGACTTTTCCTGAATGGAAAAATAGTTTTTAAGAAACTGATGACCAAACAGAGAAAATATGTATGTTGAATAGTTACATTTATGGAGTGCAGCCAATACCAATGTGTGGAAAGAATTGCTTAAGTCTTAGGAGATACTGGAAAGATCTGGTCACTAATGAACTATAAAAGATTTTCAGAAATTCCTGGTCTTTTTTTATATTTTTTATTGCTTTCTGTGACAACTTTAAGGACAGAGATGCCAAAAAAATCCGTGGACAAAAGCTGTTATGCATTATCCAGACCATTATGGTATCATTTCTTTAATTTCACAGTTAGACAATGAAAAGTAACTTCTACAAAATATCGTTTTAAAGAATTATCATATATGAGCATAAAACAGGAAAAAAAGAGCTTAGTTGTACTATTCTTGAGTTAATAAAAACCCTAGCATGATCGACCTTATTTTACTGAACTGATGAGAAATAATTTTTGTGCTTTCAAAATACAGTTCTTTACAGTGGAACAACAAAATGCCGAAGGAATTACACTTTTCTGTCACGTACCATCCAGTAAAATGTATCTGGGTAGCTCAAATTGGTGGAGAAAGCCTTTATTCCCACCGACTCTTCGGATCAAAAAGGAAATTGCAATGTTGCTGTTCCTAAAACCCCGTAAAATGTCTTTGAATGGGTCTTTGCTTCACGGTGGTAGTTCAAGTCATGAAATGGGGCAGGGGTGAATTGTTGAGGCTAAGAGCTTCTCCATCTCTATTCGGACCTTTGCAAATGCCTTAAATTGCCATTCACCTTTGTGAATGCATTTCCTTTAAGTGCTAATCTCCTGTCAGCTCTCTAATAGATACATGGCTGTTGGTGAAACACTTGTGAAACAAAACAAGGTGAATTAAATCCGGTAATCATGTCACCATGAGAAAACACACTGATATCTATCATCCCCTTCATTCTCCCCCAGCTCCTTGCAGTCTCTGTGCAATTCCAGCACACATTTGTGTTGCTCCTTCTGGAAAACCTCCAGGGACTGACACTGGGGGCAGCTCTAGGTGACCTGTTCCAGTCCTTACACCTGAGCTGGGCATTTGTCTTTGTTTTTTCTTTTATTCCTTTTCCCTCAGCCACCACCTCCTCACAGTTTCCTAATAACCAGTCTAAATTTCTTTTCATCATCACTTTAAGCCAACTGTACTGTCTGTCCCGGGTGAATAGGGAGGATGTTACGCTCTGATCCTCTTTGCAGAAACCTTTCAAACATCAAAACCTTTTGTCATGCTTCTTTCTTTTCTTTATAGGCTTTCAATCTAGTGACAGAGGGAAGTCTATCAGAGTCTAAAAAGTGAAGATATCTGTGAGCTCACAGGTGTGTTCAGTAACCAATATGTATCATAAGCAGTTGGGGAAAAGCGTGTACGCTTTCTTCCTGTTGACCATTCTTACCTTGATTTAAATGGCCTTTTCTATGATGGTCAATTAGTGACCCATAATGCTCAATAACACATAACTTGAGAGAAAAAAATGACTTAGGAACAGCTGGGAGCAGTAATTTCTTACAGCTGCTTGTTTATTCTTGCCTATCCAGTCCAAGCACTGCCTGTAGGTGAATTGAGAAGGTGGGCTTCCTTGCAGTAGCTGGGGTTTGTGGCTGTGCACCCAGCCCAGACCTGAGCAGCTCTTCCTGCCTGGATTAGTCTCCACAACACCTGCAATGAAATGCTTCCGCTGGAACCAGAGTGGGGGATTTTAATCTGGCCTTGCTGGAAGCTGCTCTTGTCATTTTTATGGAGTGCAGACAGCAAAGAGAGGTAAACATCCCCATCCAAGATCCAAAACAGTTCCAGAAAGCCTGGCTTGAGTATTTATGGTTTTATGGTTTCTTTAGAAAGTATATTAATGAGGTGGACAGTGCAGACTGCCTACAGAAGTTCTAGATGTTGTCGCCTGAAAATCTTGCTGCTCAGGAAATAAAAATGGCTTTTTAATGAAAGCTTCTTTCCAATCAGAGTGGAGGTTATGTTGATGTGTATAAACTCTGAAATAAGTCTTGTCTTTATCTGCATTTGTTAGTCCAGTGACAATTATAACTCTTAATTTGAAAGAAGTTTTGTTTGGGGGTACAGATGTGGCCTCTTGCATGTTTTCTTCATACTTTCATCAGCCAGTAGTGTTCTAAGGAGGCAGAGGGTATAAGGATGGGGCCTTTGAGGAGTTTGATGTGATGATTTAACTGTGGAGAAAACAGAGGGAAAACAGCTGGCCTCTGTTAGTTTCACCTATCAGAAATGGGATTTGACATCAGTAGATGAGGTTTTATTGTGAACTGCAAGAGAATGTAGAGATGACAGCTTAACCCCAGGCTCATAGTGAAGATTCTGTGGGATTTCTGTTTGCTGAATGCCACAGCACTTTTCATGATGCCCAGGAAATACTGTCATATTATTTACTGGTTTTTCACTCATGCTCTTCTGAGTATAATAATGAACTTCAGGCTGAAGAGAGAAGTTAAAACAAAACTGAATAATACATTAAGAGATTCTGAAGGCTGCCAATAATGAAGCTTGCTTTGATCCCTTGTTCAAACACTGGTCAAGACAACTGAAACCCTGATCTTCTCTCCAGTCCCTTTTCCCTTTGGTGTGGGTGAACCCACACACCTGCCTCTGTGGCTGAAAGCCTGCTCAGTTGGGTTTGTGGTGGCCTCTACTGGTGCTCCTCTGCAAGGGAAAAAAATCACAAGCCCAGCTCTTCTAGTTTGCTCCTTTGAAAATATGATAGTTCAGAAAATCTCTCCTTGTTAAGTGAAGGAGAGGGAAGATGAGACAAGCTCTTCTAGTGCATCTGCTGTTGGACCCCTTTGAGTCAAGACTTGCCACCAAGAGTGCAACTCTCAAAGCTGAGTGTTCTGCTGACCATTACAGGTTTGTTGCCTCCAAGAGCAGATGTGGCCTGGGAGAAACTTGATTTGAACCTCAAAGTAGCTTCTGCCAGCTTTGGTGCTGGCTCCTGCAAGCCAGCTGGGGTCAGGCAGCTGGGGGAGTTGGGGTGCTCTGCCCTGTGTGCTCCTCAGTGAGCCTTACTTGCTTTGGATCACGAGTATCTGCACTCAGGCCTAACCTGCTCCTGCCCCTCCAGAATAATTCAATCCCACAGGTCATTAAAGCTGCTTAGAAGCCTTCCAGCTGTCATGGATTAAATAAAATTAATAAAATCCAAAGAGGCCTTGAGCATGTGTCATTTAGAGGATGCTTTGAATTGATGTGAGTACAGGGCTCTTCCCTGCTCCTGCTAGGCCAGAGAAAGCATGTCAGTGGGTTTGCATGCCAAGGGAAGCATGGTGGGAGAGCTTGGAGCTGGGGCAAGAAACATCACTGAGAGGAGTTGTCTACGTTGTGTCTCCATCCTTCTCAGCTGAAGAGCAAGGCATTGCTGTGAGCAGCAAAAGGCTTTCTCGCTTCAGGTTTAAATGACTCTTCACGTGCTTGTGAACATCACACTAGGACCTGTTTGTAATCTTTTGCCAGTAAATTGTCAGTAGGGAGAGGGGATCTATGGGTGGTTTGTCCATCAGGTATGTTTAGTTTTTTTCTAGGAACTAGAAAAATTTCCAAGCTCTGGGATGTTCTGGTCCCTCCTAGTGAATTGTTGTCCAGGGAAGGTGTAGGCTCTTTTCTTTGTTTGGTTGCTTTTTTCCCCTTGGACACCCAAAAGTTGACTCTTGAGCTGTTGGAGCAGGGTGTCAGGCTTCTGTCTGTGAACTGAGCTGCTATGCTTATCTAGCTCATGAGGATGGCAGTCTGGTGCAGAAAGTGAGGCTGTTGCAAAGTCGTGGCCCAAAAGCACATAGTTTGGTTTTGAATGTTGTGCTTTGAGTTTATCAGTTTTGCCTCTTGGTCAATAGTTGAAGGTTCCATATTTAGGCTTTTTATCAGAAATAAAATCCAGGCTAGAAAATTGGGGTTTATTTTGTTTTAAGCAACTTATAGATCATGTTTAATGGTTGGAAAGCTGAAGCCCTGTTAAAAGCACTGAATATCATGAAACTTGAAATAAAATCATGAGATGGCAGTGTTGCTTCTAGCAGCTGATCTCTTTGGCAGTGCTTCATTTTCTAGGTCTCCATGCAAATGCTTTTTGCTTGCTAAAAGCCTTATATTGACAAATTACAGCCAAGGCTAAATGCATGATTATTTCCACTGTCTAACCTGTTTATCACTTTTGTGTTGCTTCTGGATTTGTCAGTTGAATTTCTCACAGGCACAAATTAGTGCACTTGTTTTCCTGGCAACACATAGATTTTGAATATGGTTAAGTGCATTTGAATTAATCTGACATCTGGGGATGTGGGTAGTGAGAACAGGTTTCCATGTTAGCAGCTAACTTTAGCCTTGTAGCTGAGGAGGCTCTCTGTAACCATGTGGGGTGGCAGGAGGGAGCTCTGCCATGCTGCAGCGCTGGCTGTCAAGAGCGCCCCAAGGGACTGGCCCCTTGACTGATGTGCTTCAATTTAATCCAACCCATTTCGACCACAAGGGTACTGTTGGCCTCAGAGCAACAGGGAGCTGTCCCATTCAAGTTCAAGTGATCCTTAAACTCCTTCTGGCTGCTTCAGTCCTTAGCTTTTAGCCTGAGTATTTAGGCATGCTTTGAAGGAGGGCATTGCCAGTGGGTATGAGAATACCCTTGATGTGGCAGGCAGTGCTTTATCAGTTTGTGTTTAAGTGTTTGAGATTTAAGTGTGTAAGACCCTGCCTCCTTGGGCTTGCCAGGTATGTCAAGACTCAGCTAACATTTGCCACCAGAAGAGGTTTCTGTGAAGTCCGTGTCACATGCTGCTTGCTCACTGTGGTCTGCTGGCACTGTAATAACACTGCAGTGCTTCCATACTGAGCTTGGAAAAGGTTTCAGCTTACTTATGCAGCCCTTTAAACAGGATCCAGTCCTTAGCAAGATCTTTCTCTGTGCATCAAAGAGTAACCATGCCCCTAATAAACTTGGGAGTTTATTTCCCTGGGTCTTTCTTCTTGCCCCAAAGCTTTCCTGCAGTTTGTATCCTCAAAGGGTGACGTTTTTTTCCTTTCAGCTGGAATAATGGCTGCCCTTGCTGCACTTGAATAACATCGATGTCCTTTGAGCAGGGGGAGGCAGAAGCATTTCCTGACTAGACAGCAAACCAAACTGGCACAGGGATAAGCTTTTAAACAGCTTGCATGTTGTGTGGGCAGCCTTCTCCATGGAATTCGAGGATGGGAACTTCAATGTATGGAATCTTTGCATGGAAATCAACATCAATATGTGCTATAGAAGAATAATTGGCTGGTGGTGGCAGCTGCTTCAGAGCTACAGCAAATTCAGGTGGCTGAGCCTGGCTGTGTGAAACCCTGGTGGCGGCCTCTTGGTCCTTTGCAGTGCCATGAGACTGTGGAAGCAATGAAAGGTGGCCTAACAGTGTGAGCTCAGGAGAAACAAATACAAAAATGAAGGGTTGAAATAGAGCAATGAAATGTAAAAATATTCCTTCCTGGAAAGGGCCTTCATGCCATTTAGAAAGGGAAAGAGATGCGCCTGCATTCTTCTGCCAAGATCCCCAGTGCACATTGGCTTGGCTTCAGTAATTTTTAATAGAATTCAACCTCAAGCGCTTCCAAATGAGCAAACAGGAGTTGAATTAACTTAAAGGACTCTTTCCCTTTGAAAGACAGAGATAACAAAAGAAAAATCTATTATAGATATGAATGAATTGCAGATCCTTGCCTATGTCTTGTTTTGGGGCTTTTTTGTGTCACTGAAACTTGTGTGCAGCTGTTCAAGGTCTGTAAAAGCTTTCATGGTGAGGGTTAATTTTGGAAGGCTGTAATTTACAGGTAGGAAAGGATTCAGGATTTCATGGAAAATTTCAGCAATATATGTTCCAAGTACCCACAAACAGCTTTAATACAGCAATTCCAAACTCTCAGGGAGTATAAGGGAAAGACATGCAAAAAATGGCCAGATTAACTTTCTAACATCTGCTTTTGTCACTTAGTCAGAATACCAGGTTATTGCTCTGACACAGCTGGGCATCATTACTTATGTTTTTAAGCAACATGAAATTCCTCTTCCTGTGTTCCCACAAACATCATGCTATAGATATTTTTTCTGTATATACATATGGACATGTTTATTTCCTAAGGGATGGCTGGACTCTCATAGTGCTTATTTTCCCATGCTGTTATTTCAAGATTAGTTGATAGCTGCAAAAGACAATTGCCCAAAGTGGAAGATACCAGTCTAGCTTATTTCAAAGCTTGTTTCAGGCCCAATGCTCATTAGTTAAAGGGGAGGTTTCTTGCTTTGTACTATGGGGTTGAGAAACCTGAAGGGGACAGCAGAATATTTTGTTGCTCCACATAAAATAAAATAATTTTGTCCTTCAAGTTGCTCCACATCATTTTTTCAGTTAGGTGTTTGCATCAGGTTGTGTGGATGCAATCTGTACTGTAAGCTGGATATAATCTCCATGAAAACTTTGAGTTGTCTTACACAGAGTACCTTCAATGACAGGTTTGTTAAAACTTTGTCACCTTGTTCTCAGAAATGTCAAGTGAGGAGTTTCATCTTCATTTTCTTAAGTGGATTAGCCCTGGCATAGCTGCAATGCTACTCAGTCTTCAAGGTGCCTTCAAGGTTGCAGTGTCATAATGGCTTTAGCAATATTGCTCTCAAAATGCGCCTGTTAGCAATTTTCAGCATTAATGATAAATAAAATGAAGTGAATTAATGTAGAAAAACTTTACAGGTAGTTTAATCTATCACATTAGATAACTAGCTGATATGTAACTTTTTATGCTTTAAGTGTTGTGGAATTCTGTGTTTTTTAGCAACTGTCTTGTTGCAGCTGGTTTACAGTCAATGTGTTTGGTTCAGTTAATTTTGGAACCGAAATTCTAGTTCAAGGTTTTAGAGAGCCAAGACAGCAATATTAAAGTGGGGTCCTCTGATAACTTCAGGTATTTATGAGCAAACTGGGGGAGGGAGGGTGTGAAATTCTGTGCTAAGGACAAATGACTGGGAGCCTGACTTGGGTTCACCTCATGGGTTTGTGTCGTGTTGAACTTAAGTGTCAGTCCCCTCAAAGCTGAGGATGGACAATGCTTGTTTCACTGGTGAAAAGGAGCTTTGAATGGATGTTGTTTTTGATGTGCAGTTTCCACAAGCAGGTCAGTACAATGTCCATCAGACTGTTTCAGGTAACTGTTGACAGTGTCACAGGGCGTAGATTGAACAAGGGTCACGCCTGACTTTGAAAATTGTTAAAATTGCTACTGTTCTCATGCAGATGTTGGCTGTTGCAAGGGTGCTTTGGGATTGCAGCGTTATGACTCAGAGGTGCCATCCTATCTCCTCCTCCAGTGCTGTTTATCCATCTGTGCTGACAGTTTTTTCCCTGACTCTGTACAGGGAGAAAGAGAAAGAGACAAGTCTAGATCTCATGATTGGCTGTATAATTCTCATACTTCAAAGGCTATTGCTTGTTCTTGTCACCTTCTGCACTATTTATGTTGTATGTAAATCATCTGATCCACGTTGTGCTCCTAATAATTCTCAAGCTGTTTGCCCGAGTTGCTCATCACTGTCTTTGCTGCTATGGAAACAAATTGTTCCCAGTTTCATAGGAAGAACATTTACTTTTTCTATGATTTGGTTATGATGCATCAAAAATTGAGAGTCCAGGCATTCTCTATAACCAGGTGCTTTTGGAAGAGTTTTTGGATGATGGGAGATGCTGCCTAACATTTGGTGTTTGTTCTGTTTGGAAAATCAAATGAAAGAGGCGGGGGATGGGTATTCAATCATATTTGCTGCATTCTGTTAAGGGAAGCACTGCCCAAAAGTCTTGCAGCAACACGTCATTTTAGAAAATGAATGACTGCCATTGACTTTTGCTTGTCCTTTGTACCTTCATGACAGTATGACTAGTGTGTTCCCGTTGCCTTTTCCATGCCAGCATTGGGCAGCCACTACTTATTTCACAGAATCACAGAATATTCTGAGTTGGAAGAGACCCACAAGGATCATTGAGTCCAGCTCTTAAGTGAATAGCCCAACAGGTAGCAAATCCACATCCCTGGCATTATTAGCACCATTTTCTCACCAGCGAGTTCTTTACATCATTGTGAACAGGAAGTTATGAATGGAAAAAATAATCCCTTTCCTAAGTGTGGTATCCTGTGCATGCGCTAGTGGGATTTATGGTGGCACAATGCCAACTTTTGCCTGCTCTTAGCTAAGTTGCTGCTGTATTGTAACTTAATATGTTCCCTAAAGCACTAAAGTCTATTAAATTGTTTATCCTTTTTTATGTATGTGAACAATGCAAAGGGGTCTGGAGGAAAAGCTGTATTAGGGATGGCTAAGGTCATTTGGTCTGATCAGCCTAGAGGAGATTCAGGGAAGTCTGCATCTTCCTCACAGGGAGAAGCAGAGGGCACCAAGCTCTTCTCTCCAGTGACCAGTGACAGGAACCAAGGGAATGACAGGAAGCTGTATCAGGGGAGGTTTAGGTTTGATATTAGAAAAATGATTTTCATTCAGAGAGTGGCAGAGCACTGGAATGGCTCCCCCAGGAAGTGGTCACAGCATCAAGCCTGACAGAGCACACAAATCACTTGGACAATGCTCTCAGGCATCAAATCACAATCTCATGGTGTGATTCTTGGGGCTGTCTTGCGCAGGGTAAGAGCTGGACTGCGATGATCCACCTGGGTCCCTTCAAACTCAGAATATTCTGTGAAACACGATATTCTGATATGAGCTGGATTGCTACTCAGACAATTCTGTTGACTTTCATTATGCATTTTTTTTGCACAGTCTTTCTGGTTCTTCATAATGTGTATGCAGAAAGAGCTCCCTGTCTGGAAAAGTGATATTTAGCTAAATATCCCTTTCCCTATCAGGCCATGATCTCAAACTTCTAAAGTCTCATATTTTAAATAAAATGTGCCCCGGTTTCACTGTTGCTTTGTCCTTTTGGTCAAGGGATATTCCCTCCCATCTGTTTGGTTTGGTTTTTTTTGTGTTCAGCTCCACTTATCTGTGTGGCAGAGGATTCAGTCTACAATGACAGCAGTCTGCTTTCTTCGCCTGGCGCAGCAGGAGCCTTCACCCTAATTGAGCATTGTAGGTGCTAATGCAGTAATATCTTTGCTGATCGTGACAGCTGACAGCATATGGCTGCTTCTCAGCAGAACAAGAATGTCCTCACACACCAGAGCTGCAGGGTGGACAGCTCAGTTGCATTTTTGCATTTCACCAGCTGGAGCAAACTTGCATCAAAATGGCTGTGGATTGCCCTTCTTGGTACCTTCAGTTGATTCTCATCCTTCTGTTATTGAGTAGCTGTGTTCTGGGTTCTACCCATCAGCAAAACTGTAGTAGTATTTGATTTCAGATTTGGTGGAACCCACTGCTAACAAACTGAGGAAAAGGCAGAGGGAACAGAGGATCATTTTGACTTACTGGGTTCACAAATCAAGTCCTTGAGTGACAACTGAAATAGGCAGAGGAGAATGAACTGCATCACTCCCACTCTGTCTTCCCCTTTCAGTAGTTTCAGCCTTTGAGGGTATTTTGTTTTATGCATATCTAAATATTTTTCATCCTTAAATTTGGTAGGAAATGCTTCAGAAAAAAAGCTGCCTTTTTTTTTTTTTTTTTTGACATTGACAGTTTTAATGTAAAAAAAGAGATTTCTAATGAAAACAGAAAAATTGCAAGCAAATCATTAAATTACATACTAGCTAATTATTCTGCCTATCTGATACCATCCTGAAGGTAAACCTTGATACTGGACATGGAAATGAAGATGAACTCTTTGCGGTCTTTGTGATTTACAGCCAATGAACTTGACAATGGAACAGGAGAAGAGAAGGCTATCAGAAATACTTTTTTGTCTACCAGTGTGAGCAAGGGAGAGTGGCCAGTGCCCTGCCAGGAAGATTTGGCTGTGTGGCGTGTGCTGCCATCCTGTTTTGAGGCGGATCAGGTGCAGGGCTCAACAGACGCTCCAGAGCGCGAAGGGTTGGAGGCGAGCGGGTGAAACACTGACTGACTTGTGTTGGCAGATGGGAATTGAGGGATTCATTAGTCATGCTGTAGTCTCTTGTTTTGCACTTTGTCATGATGAAATGAGAAATAAGAGTTGCCTTTCGATAGCTGCAGAGGGCTTTTAAATACTGCAGGTTGAAGGCTGTGCTTGAACACTGTGCTTGAACAGTGTTTTCTTCTACTGTGTTTGATCATTGAGACAGTTGTCTTGCAGATCAAAGGAGACATACATGATGGGATTAGTATTACCAGCTCCTGTTGATTGCAGAAAGTGCTGGATCTTATTTGGGAGTAAGCAGAGAATGATCCAAAGAGACTCTATAGACTCTATTCTAAATGCTTTTTCAGTAAGTAAGACCACCTCCTTCAGCTTCTTCATAATCATGCAGCAGCCCGTCTGCAGTTCTCATCTCACTTAGGGTCTGTTCCAGTAAAAAAGTCAACTGGAAGACAAGCAATTAATTTTTTTCCAAAGCATTTTATTAAACGGTACCTATTTGATACCCAAATGTGTATTCTGCATCTGTCTTCACTTGCTCTCTCCCCAGGAGGCTGTAATGTGCTTGCTTGAGAGACGCTTTGCCTTGCTGTTCTTCAGTGATTCACTTTTTTGTGTGGAAATTGGGT